AGTCATCACGCTTGCGAAGAAGGCAAAGCTCCAAGCGAGGACTACCATTACTAAGATAACACACGGTGTGACGATCTGGTGGTAGTGTAGCGGTCGCGATATAGCAATGTACCTGGCAATGTAAGAGTTTGTTGATGCAAGGGCCGAGAGCGTAACCAAACTGAAGTGTCAAAGGCATATGATCTTTAACGGGAATTCGATTAGAAAGGTCGTTGGTGATACGAAGGTTCCTTGCACGCCCATGAGAAAATCGGCGACAGCCAAGTTTGCGATCAGCTTGTGTGCAGGCTCCTGCAGGTGTGATGTCCGTGTCACAGCCAAGATGACGAGAAGATTAGCAAGTGTAATGAGAATGTTGAGAGGAATCAGCAGGTAAGCGATCGACGTCTGAATCGCTTTAACCGTTCCCTGTTCAACGTCCGTTTCCATGCAGCCGACCAAGCTCCCATTCTCGGACACGGACCCAGAGATGTTGCACAGGGAACAATTAGCTGTCGCCATGATGCAAAAATAAATCTCACCACGCCAGCTCTGTAACACTAATGGCGTGCCTCTGCCGCTTCGCATTAATTTCATGTATTTTATACGTAATAATGTCTCCCCTTCTCCCTCTCAGCAATTCTATATCTGAACTCTAATTTTATCTCGTAGCGTTGTCACGATACAATGCTACATAATTAAATATACATAATTTACTATATTACATCGTTTAGCCCTTAGATTCTCCACAGAAACACGTCCTTCGTTCTCCCGAATCATTTAACTAGCGTGATGCGGGGTATTGTTGTACCTACTTACTTGGACGTACCGGATGAAGATATCAGCCGCACTGCCCCATCCAATGAAAGGGACATTTGCAGCTGGCGCGTGCACAGCTTAGACTGTCCCCAGCTGTCAACCCTCCGCCACGAGAAAGCATTAATCTTGGCAATAGCCTTCACTAATATGAAACCTGGTGGTAGGCTATTCGATATAAACATTTTCCTCATTTAAATAAGCTTCACAACGTGAATAGAAAGCAAGTTTGATAAATTTCTGCGCTAATTGATTTTGCGCTAACGAAGTATACGTAAAACTCTCTGAGAAGATTTTAAACCATATTTAACGGAACATCCCACGTTCTTTAGTGGCAAACGCGTGGGCAACACTGCACCCGAACCCCGCCCGAAACTCAGCTAACGTGAAAGCTAAATCGATCTACCTGCTTAAACACTTCATCGAACGGATGAAACAGTCGCGATGATTCCAGTAAGGTTGGACAGTAGAGACGTCTCTAGCGTCCACGCGAGGGCAACACCGCCCGGAAGGCGGCGCGGAACTGACTGCTCTTCGCAGCATATATGAAGAAGTTCATGCAAGAGTTTGAGTACGCCAGCAGGTAGCCGAGGCCTCGCGCCACGCCGACCGTGTCGTGGTAGACGTCGGCAACGCTCAGCAGCATCATGATGAAATACGGAGCCCAGCAAACGAAGAAAGCGCCGACGACGATGCCAAACGTCTTGGCAAGCTTCAGATGCTTGGCGAGCTCAGCAGAGAAGGATTTTCCGGTCGCTCCAGCCTCCTGCGAACCGCTGTTGCTCGGGTCCGGGTGGATCTGCTGCTGGTGGTGCCTGGCAATCATCATCATGTAAGCGTAAATGGAGATGATGGCGACGCCGCACGTACCAATGACTAGCGAGGTACAGATGAGAGATGTTATACTTGTGACGGTGTCATATATGCATGATTGATCCGGCTGCCAGCGGTTACCAATGATAGTCATCACGCTTGCGAATAAGGCAAAGCTCCAAGCGAGGACTACCATTACTAAGATAACGCGCGGACTGACGATCTGGTAGTAGTGTAGAGGTCGCGATATTGCAATGTACCTGTCTACGTTGATGGCAATGAGAAAGTTTGTTGATGCAAGGGCCGAGAACGTAACCAAACTGAAGTGTCCAAGGCATATGATCTTTGGCGTGAATTTGATTAGAAAGGTTGCTGGTGCTACGAAGGTTCCTTGCACGCCCATAAGAAAATCAGCGACAGCCAAGTTTGCGATCAGCTTGTGTGCCGGCTCCTGCAGGTGTGATGTCCGTGTCACAGCCAAGATGACGAGAAGATTAACAAGTATGTTGAGAATGTTGACAGGAGTCAGCAGGTAAATGATCCACGCCTGAATCGATTCAACCGTTCCCTGCTCAACGTCCGACTCCATGCAGCCGACCAAGCTCCCATTCCTGGACACGGACCCGGAGATGTTGCACAGTGAACCATTAGCTGTCGCCATGATGCAGAAATAAATCTTACCACGCCAGCTCCGTAACATTAATGGCGTGCCTCTGCCGCTTCGCATTAATTTTATGTCTTTTATACGTAATGATGGCTCCCCATCTCCCTCTCAACAATTCTATTTCTGAACTATAATTTTATTTTGTAGCGTTGTCTCGATACTATGCTACATAATTAAATATACATAATTTATTATATTACATCGTTTAGCCCTTAGATTTTCCTCAGAAATGCGTCCTTCGTTCTCATGAATCATTTAGCTAGCGTGATGCGGGGTATTGTTGTACCTACTTACTTGAACGTACCGGATGAAGATATCAGTCGCACTGCCCCATCCAATGAAAGGACATGTGCAGCTGGCGCGTGCACAGCTTAGACTGTCCCCAGCTGTCAACCCTCCGCTACGAGAAAGCATGAATCTTGGTAATAGTCTTCACTAATATGAGACCTTGGTGGCAAGCTATGCGATGTAAACATTTTCCTCATTTAAGTAAGCTTCACAACATGAATAGAAAGCAAGTTTGATACATTTCTGCGCCAATTGATTTTGCGCTAACGGGGTATGACTACTGCAGTTAAACCGTCCGCCGGTATGTGAAATACTGACATGGCGCCCTCGCGTAACAACGTCACTATTTCACATACGCAGCGTAGAACTATGTAGAACTGTTACGTTTCGGATCCAGCGCTATATCAGTATTCTACATGGGCTCGGCCAGATTATGTGAACATTTTACATAATGATTTTGTTGGCGTTTGCTGATAGACGCCACCGTCACAATTTTGTATATTATGTGTAATAAATTCAATAACTTTTATTGAAGAGTAGATACAACTAACAAGGATTAGAACGTATTTGTAGAGCTGAAATAAAAAATTCAGTTGCAGGATGTGTGTTAGCGGTAAGATCTTTGACATTCGATACGTTAGTGTATTTGTCGCAGATAAGTGCACGAGAAACCACTGCCAGCCAGGTTGATCGGAGCCAGCAAGGTATTAAAAAAATAGGTACCTATTAGCTAAAAAAAGGTCCTTACGCCGTGCAAGACGGTCTTTGATATTCTAAGACTGTGTCTACATCTTCACTCGTGTGTGAAATATGCGATACACAATTAGGGGGCCCAGTAAGTTGGTTAAGGAACTAGTAGTAGTACTAGTAATACAGTAGATACAATAATGTAACCCAAACACAGGATAGGGTTACAACGCGAGCCTATTCTTTCCTTTGGGGGAATCCCTGAGTTAATCACTCAGGGCGGTTTGCTGGTGCGTTTTCAGAGAGTAGAACTTCCAAACTGGGTTTATTCTCAACACGAACCTTTCTCCGCTATCCTGGAACTTACTATGTATCACAATACTCTGTATTAAACTAATAGAACCTGTTACAAAAATTCGAAATGACGAGCGGCAATAGTTCGAGCGCCATTTCTATTGACCTGTGACGTACAGATTCCCAATGCGCATAGCGTTCGGCTAACTTCGTCGTGACGTCACGAAGGACAGCAGGCATCCAATGATACATTCGATCTTGGAGTCAAAGTTTGCCGAACGCTATGCGCATTCTGTACATCACAGGTCAACAGAAATGGCACTCAAAGTATCGCCGCTCGTCACTTCGAATTTTTGTAACAGGTTATATTAGTTTAATACAGAGTATTGCGATACATAGTAAGTTCCAGGATAGCGGAGAAAGGTTCGTGTTGAGAATAAATCCAGTTTGGAAGTGTTATCAGCTAAAGTAAATGTACTTCTTAGAAAGGAGTTCGAGTTTCCGGTGGAACAATCTTATTTCTGGGTAGATTCAGAGATTGTCCTGTCATACATTACTAGTTAAACAAGGCGCTTCCAGGTGTTCGTGGAAAACAGAAATGGCATCATCCGACAATTGACAGATCCCAAGCAATGGTTTCATATTGCCGGTCGGAATAATCCTGCTGACATTATCAGTAGCGGTCATATACTTGATCAAAATACTTGCAAGTTGTGGTTCCAGGGGCCACATTTCCTGAGTTAATACAAAAGTGAGTGGGGTCTGTCCAATAGCCCCTGTTCAGTGTCATCAAGTGATCTTGAGTTAAAAAGGGAGCCAGTTAGAGCGTGTCATGTGACAGATGTTGGCACTGATCATAGTTTATATGGTAGGAATCCGGTAGACTTGATAGCAAATCATTTTTCTGGTTGGTTCAGAATGAAAAGAGCACATGCATGGTGGATCAGGCTAGCAGACGTCTGTAAGCATAAAGCAGTAAAGTTAGGTTCATTGGTTGTTGGTCACATTCAGCGTGCAGAGCGCTGTTTGCTCAAATCTGCTCAGGAGCATTATTATCCGCAGGAAATTCAAAGGTTATCCGAAGGGAAGGAAATCAAGAGATCAAGTTCTTTGAGATATCTGTGTCCACACTTTGATGTTAATGGTTTACTTAGGGTAGGTGGACGGTTGAGCGAATCGAAATTGACAGTTTGAAACCCAGTTATCATTCCAGGAAGTCATGCTGTGGCTAGGGCTATTGCTACTGAATATCATAATACAGCACATCTGGGTGTTGAATGGACTCTCAGTCTGATTAGACAGAAGTTCTGGATAGTGCGAGCTCGACCATTGATTAAAAAGATTATTCGGTCCTGTATCACCTGCAAGAAGTTGTTTGCTAAACCCAGATGCCAGCTCATGGCCGATCTCCCACAGGAGAGTAGATAGTGATAAGCCTCCCTTTACCTATGTGGGGATCGATGTATTCGGGCCTTTTCTGGTCAAATTCAATCGGTGAGAAGTGAAACGTTACGGGTGCATGTTCACGTGTCTCGTGTCCCGGGTAGTTCACATTGAGATGTTACACAGTTTGGAGACATTCATGAATGGTTTTCGTAGATTTATCTCCAGGAGAGGTCACACAGACAAAGTATACTCGGATAATGAAACAAACTTTGTAGGAGCCAATGCCGAGCTCAAGAGGGCTCTTAATGAGCTTTCTCGCAGTGAAATCGAGGCGTACGCTTTACGAAGAAACATAGACTGGCATTTTAATCCACCCGCAGCTTCTTATATGGGTGGTGCATGGGAACGCATGATAGGTTGTACCAGAAGAGTGATGGAAGGATTTCTGGTTGGTCCTGTGAAATTAACAAATGATATCCTTGAAACGTTGTTTGCTGAAGTTGAATCAATCATAAATGGAATACCACTTACAAAATTAAGCGATGATCCCATGGACCTATCCCTCTCACACCTAACCACTTGTTACTTATACGTGCCGGATCAACGATCCCCCCAGGTAAATTTGATAAGTCAGACGTTTTCCGTCGTCGTTGGCGGCACGTTCAGCACTTAGCTGACCAATTTTGGATAAAGTGGGTCAGGATGTACCTTCCAGAACTGCATAAACGCATAAACTAGACTGAAAAAAACAAATACCACAGTGGGAGATCTCGTTCTTCTCCTAGAAGAACACACGCCAAGAAATCTATGGCCTTTGGGCATTGTCGTTGAAGTATTCGAAGGTAGAGATAAGAATGTCAGGTCTGTTCGCGTGAGAACGAAATCTACGGAACTGGTAAGGCCAATCACAAAGATTGTCCTGTTGGAATCTGCATGTTAAATTATGTACTTGTTTGTCTGGATTTGGTCGTTGGTGATTTCGTTGTAAGCGAAGTAATTAACAGTGGATGCATGTATTATTTAGTTTTGTTTTTGTTTTGTTTGTTGACGTAGTTACGCTATTCTGTTGGGGGAGTGTTATCTCCAGCGATAAATATTTCGATTCGCTCAACAGTCCACCTACCCTAAGTAAACCATTACCATCGAAGTGTGGACACAGATATCTCAAAAAACTTGATCTCTTGATTTTCTTCCCTTTGGATAACCTTTGAATTTCCTGCGGATAATAATGCTCCTGAGCAGATTTGATCAAACAGCGCTCTGCACGCTGAATGTGACCACCAACCAATAAACCTAACTTTACCGCTTTATGCTTACAGACGTCTGCTAGCCTGATCCACCATGCAAGTGCTCTTTTCATTCTGAACCAACCAGAAAAATGATTTGCTATCAAGTCCACCAGATTCCTACTATCTGAACTATGATCCGTGCCAACATCTGCCACATGACACACTCTAACTGGCTCCCTTTTTAACTCAAGATCACTTGATGAGACTGAACAAGGGCTATTGGACAGACCCTACTCCCTTTTGTATTGACTCAAGAAATGGGGCCCCTGGAACCACAACTTACAAGTATTTTGATCACGTATATGACCTCTACTGATAATGTCAGCAGGATTATTCTGACCGGCAATATGAAACCATTGCTTGGAATCTGTCAATTGTCGGATGATGCCTCTGTTCTCCACGAACACCTGAAAGCGCCTTGTGTAACTAGTAATGTATGCCAAGACAATCTCTGAATCTACCCAGAAATAAGATTGATCCACCGGAAACTCGAACTCCTTTCTAAGAAGTACATCTACTTTAGCTGATAACACCGCGGCCTGCAACTCGAGACGTGGAATGCTACACTGTTTAATGGGTGACACTTTA